TCCTGTGCTGCAGCAGGGCTCATTTTGGTCTGATGGCTTCAGTCTGGCCTTCCTGCTTCTGATGGGATGTGGGAAGTGATGTGCCTACAGTGCTGGTTTCAGGGAGTGTACATAAGAATGGTGCAGAGTTTGGCAGGAGGTCTAACTCCTCTGTCCTTTTCGGGTGCTGACTCTCCCCAGTCTGAGCAATAAATGCTTTTACTGCTCTACAGGCAAGAAATAATTGTGCAGAGACTGTGTGGCCCTAGTGACACTGAGCTTCGAAAGAATTCTGGGGCCAAACCCCTCTTGTGAGCTGTCTGCACAGCACCTGCTAGCTGAGTCAGGCCTGCCCATGGTATTTGCAGTTCTGATTATTCTGAGCTTGATGAGCATCAGTAGATGGATTTACAAAGGTTTGTATCCTACGATGTCCAAGAGCCACCTGATGGGAAATACCACGTGCAGAAATTAAAGTGAAAATACATATGGCCTCAGCAAGGGGCCCAGAACTGCACAGAAGCAGTGGAGGCAGACTGAGTCTGGAACACACATAGCAGGTTTCTGGCATGCCTCAGGACCATGTGCTTCAATCTCCAAGGTGAGTGCTGTGACCTCTGGTCTGTCTTGTTCCCCGCAGGCGCCTGGTGGAGCGGCTGGAGAACATGAGAAAGAATGCAATGGGCAACGGCCTCTCCCAGTGCCTGCTCTGCAGTGAACTGCTGGGGCTACTGGGCAGCAGCTCTGTCTTTTGTCAGGATTGCAAAAAGGTATGTTTGGTCACACAGGTTCTGCCTGTTCCTGGTAGCAGATCTGGTCAGGAAAGGCCCTCAAACCTCTCAGAAACTTGATAGCTCAGCAGAATTATCTTAGCCCCACTTGTCTAGGTCGGTGCTGTCAGACCATCAGGTTTTCTCTTGTTCCATGGTTATCTTACTCCTCAGGATCCTAAAGAGCCTAAACTGAACTAAGTGCTGAGATGGGTGCGTCTGCCTACTCTGTACCTCCCTCTCTCGGGCTTCAAGGTGGGAGAAGGAGCAGAAATGTATGTCCATCAGAAGCAACTCATAGTCTGTGTGTTTTCTTGTTAATATCTTCCCTTAGACCTCCCAGTGATGCGTCTCTTCAGAGGACTCAAGTCCACCTCCAAGTTCCACACCAGAGTACACTTTCCAACCCTGATACATAAGTCAGCCTGTGCAGCACTGGCTGCCCATGTTTGTGTACAATGTTGCAGGACTGCCCGGGTGCTGTTTTGAGGGAGCATCAGTTTGCAGAGCCACTGATGTTCTGCCAGTGCCCTGGGGGACTGTGTTTCTTGTCCAGACTCTGCAGCCAAGGGGTTAATCTGTATTGCTGTGGAGATGATCATCTCCAAGGCAACCACCTTATCCTCTCTCTGCTGGGAGACTGTTTCTCCTGCGCTTAAAGCCCATCTTTCCCTGGGGAGATACCTCTCTAAGTGACTGCCTCAGTGTGTTTCCTGGGGAGAGGTGAGGGTAGCCTGCTGGATGCAGGAGCATTTCCAACTTGCTGGTGGAAGGAAGCAGCCTGGTACTGGAGCCAAGGACACACATGCCCATGTCACCTATCCTGTGACTCAGGAGATGTCCCATGGATCCCCCAGGAGAGCACCGAGTTGAACTTCTCCTTAGCTGTGTAGTGGTGCATTTTGGCACCTCTGTGGCTAAGCAGCCATGCAGACCATGATGGAGAACCTTTCATTCTGGCACTGCTGGAGGTTGCGAGATGCATTTGTCATGCAGAGCAGGCTGCTTGCACTGGTCCATGGTTGGCTGCAGCACTGCTGTGCTTAGAGCTCTTGTAAGAGAGAGAAGGGAGGTGGGTGCCCCTTGCAGTCAGAACCACTGTTCCTCCATATGTGCTCACTGGGCAGGGAGCTGCTGTGAGCTGTCCTGCCTTTGCTGTCAAGGGAGTTTCTTGACTAGATCCTGTTTACAGAACTGGCTTGACTGAGGCAGGGGTTATGCAGAAGATTACTTGGAAGGCAGTGACTGGGAAAGTAAACACAAATCACTGAACCCCTGAGTCCTAAGCCAGGGAGGACGTTGCCCTTTTAGGAAGAGGTGGGGAAGGATGCAAAAGTAAGGTACTGGGAAAGTCTTGACTGAAAGGGGAGCTAACAGGGCAGCACTCTTGGAGAGAAGCATAGGCTCCGTGCACACATGTCTATGGAGAATAAGGGGCTGGCTGGCAGACAGGAGGCAGCTGGCTATTTCCTATGTTTCAAGCACATGGAATAACAGGATGTGCTGTATTCTTGCCTTCTTCCCTTAGAGACTCTGCTCTCACCTTGTCCAAAGGCAGCTAGGTCACATTGCCACAGCACTTTCTAACCTCCTTCCTGTGAGCCCTGTACCTAATGAGGAGGCAAAAGCTGGTGCAGACACTTCTGTCCATTTGTAGTTGTAGGTAGCAACCCCACAGGTAGAGAGGCAGCCTGAGCCCGAGGCTGCAGGAGGGCTGTGACACACTAACCCCAGGGAAGGGCTAGGTTTTTTCTGAGGATATTCCCTTTTTGTCTGGAGTCTGTTGAGCAATTCAGGAAGATTCATACCCAGATTGATTTAAGGTGAGATCTTACTTTTCCAGTGAGCCTTTTGCAGCTGCTTCCAGCTTGGCTTGTTGAAAAAAGCAGCTTACAGCTGCTTTTCAGCTGTGTGCAAGCTCAGGGCAGTGCTGAGTGGGTGCCCTGGGCTTCTCCCCTTGCTGCTTTTTAATGTTGTGGAGTGAAATGAGTGAACAGTCAACCCTTTGGCAGAGCACACGGTGAACTGTTACTTTAAGCTTGTTCCTTCTCGTCCAGGGATATCCATCATTCATGCAGTGTTGTATGCAATAAGCAATGACTTGCCAGGGAATTATGGATTTTCAAAGTTCATATTTTTCTTGCTAGCATTGCTCTGTTCCCACTTCATTGCAGCCCATTTAATTCAATAACAGGAATTATTGCAATGATGCATCTGAAACACAACAAAGAACTTACTTTCAGCAAGTCCCTTCTGCTGAATAAAGATTATAGAATTTTTTGTAGCCTGGTGGATTTTCTAAGAGCCACTTTCTGATTTATGAAGAATATTTTTAATATTAGTTTTTATTATCTTAGAAATAAATGCATGATGGCCAGACAAAGATTTATGCAAATCCATACACGATAACAATACCAGTAGTTAGACGAAGCCTAACGTGTCATTTACCATGCAGAGAGTGTCAGTATCATGTATAAAAGATGAAATAGAAGATACAAGCTTTTACCTTGTATTTAATGAAGAATGGGGCTGTGTTTAATGCCCTTGGGTGTTGTCTTTTGAGGGGTTGGTGAGGGATGCTCAACTTTCCAGTTTGTCTGCAAAGACAGGGAGGAAAGCCCCGTTTTAAATTGGAACTTTCAAAATTCATGGCTAGGAATAAAATCGCTAGGAAACTTCCACTAGAGGGAGTGTTTGAATGTGCTATATGTGTGGGGATCTTTGAGGGTATTTAAGACTGAGTTGCACTTTCAGATTTTGGTTTGAGGGAGGAAGAATTTGGGGTTGTTCAGATGGTTTCTGCAAGTTGCATCTGCAATCCCCCTTGGCTTGGGTAACACCATGTTGAGTACTGATGCACCAGATCCAAGAGGTTGTTCCTTATTTGTCTGGGAAGTTGAAGGCAAGGACAGGAACAGAAAGATGGAGAGGAGCACTAACCTTTGTGGGACTGCTGGTGCCACCTCTCACTTGCTGTGCAGCACGAGTCAGGGACAGACCTGCCTTTGGATTGCACTGACCAGAAGAGCTGGGTGTGTTTATTCATGCAATGAAGCTGTTGCCTCAGATACTGTAGTTCTGCCACTCTCCTCCTCCAAGTGTGGGCACTGAGGGCTGAGACTTTTGTCCTTGGACACAGACCTCCTCAGAGGAGGATCAGCATGGTTGAGGGGATAGGTGAAACCTTAGCTGGGGAGATAAATTCACAAGTCTCTCTAAGCAAGGTTTTGCTCTCCAGGGCCCTCTTGTGAGTGGCTTTTGCTCTGTGAGAATCAATTCCTCATTCAAGCTGTAAGCCAAGTCTGATACACATCACCTTCATTATTTAATATTAGGTGATTCAGGTTGTAAATGGCTTGTAATGCCAGCAGAGACATGAAAGTTCCTCTGTGCAGCAACAGAGGCCAAGCAGCACTATCCAGCATTCTGCTCAGGAAATGTGCTCAGTCGTGTCTGCAGCCACAAATCAACAGCTGGGTGTTGAAATGGAGGGGAAGCTGTGGGGCTCAAAACTACATGTGTAAGGGAAGGGAGGAGGATTTCCAGTCTTGTACAAATGCACGCTTGTTTTATACTTAATTACAGCTGCTTTCCATGCCACAGTGATTTGGTTTTAGGATTTAGAGGAATAATAATAAAAAAAACATTCTAGAAATATGCCTGTTGGTCACAGGTTTCGATTTGCTCTGTCCAGTTATCGTTGCACCCTGCAGTCAAGGACTGTGCTGTGGATTTGGTTCTGTGGTTCTATTTGTCTTTCTCTCATGTCTATATAGACCTGAAGCAGCTTCCTGTGGTCAGTGGTTCTCCAGGATAAATAAGAAAATTGTGCCATGTTTAGGTTTTTAAGGAAAGCAGATGCTTCTCGATGTCTCTCCCAGGGGTTGCAGGGAGTTGCTAACACAACCTTTTGTCTTCTCTTTGTCTCTCTCCTTCTTTCAGAAAGTTTGCACCAAGTGTGGAATAGAAACTTTTGGAGCCCAGAAACGTCCACTTTGGTTGTGCAAGATCTGCAGTGAACAGAGAGAGGTAAAATGCAGCTGTGGAGAGATGGGGCTCAGCAGTGTGCACCTACACACCCCAAGTCCATGCTGAGTGTGTGAAGGCTCTTCCTTGTGCCTGGACACTGGGAGCTTGGGATGGAGTTTGGGAGGCTCAGCTGGAGGCCAGACAGGCTTGATAAATACACAGTGGTGACAACTTTGGTTTGTGGGTGGGTGGAGGGAAAAAATCCGCACCGGCCCTTGCAGCCTGAATGGCTTTGTGAAGTTTTTCTAGCTATGATAAGAGACCTTTTGCAGCCAGGCTTTTCCCCTCCTAGCTCTGTGGCAAATAAACTTGGCTAGCACCAGTTCTTTAATACAGTTGGAGAGATCTATAGCATAGCTGCAATATTTTTCCCTCTAAAAATAACCAGAATTGCAGCTTTTAAGTCTGTTTTCCTCCCTGCTGCCTAAAAATCCCATAACTTGCTAGTGTGTTAGACTTCTAATGCAGGTCTCTAAATTTTTATATCCATCATTCTTGACTTTAGACTGCCAAAAGTAATGGCCTTCCTCAATTCTTGTGTGCCAGCCAGCATCCTCCAACATTACGGCCCTCTGCTCGACAGTGAAGTGAAGTCAGTGGATTTGTGCTGTGATTACAGAAGGATTTTCACTTGTCCTATCAATTTATTTTGGGCTTTTGCTTGTGGTCCTTGAACATCATTCCGGTGCAGCTCTTTCTGACCATTGCAACCATTGTGAAACCTGAGTGGTCTGCTAAATAATTTTTTTTTTAAATGTAGTGAGAGGATTTCTGCAGGTGTTTGGGATGCTGAATTTTATTAATACATATTTATATGTATATAATTTATATATATAATTGTGGAAGCTTAGCATTGCTTAGGTTTTACATAGGAGGGGTTTGTGTGGGAGTACTTGCAAAGTTCACGTTCAGGTAAGAGGAGGGGCACATGGGCACTGCCTAACTTTTCATTAGTGATGTAGGTAGGGTAGGCAGAAAGCATTCCAGCTCTCTGGATATAACTAATAATGTGATACACTGAACCACCCAGAAGTTTTGAATTCCAAGTGGAGGTCCCAAAATGGAGAGTGAGGCAAGTCAAGATATTTTCTGTGTTCTGCAGGAGATGGGCATAGGACTAAAACTTACTTCATTTATTTTATTGTGTTATTTCTGCATTTTTTGTCATCCCACACTGTATATAATTGTAGGGATTTTTCCTATTTCTTATAAAAATAATGAGGAGCTGTGGTCACTGGACAGAAAAGTATATTAACCTGCCCAGCAAGTGTTGTGTGCTACCAGTGTGTGAGAGTATGGTAACCTTCAAGGCTCTCTCTCTCTGTGAAACCTGAGATAAGGGCAAAGTGCTGCCCTAATGAAAATGGATGGAACTTTCCTACTTAGACTAACTAACAAATAGCCTCATCTTCCCTCCCAGCCTTAAGCTTCATCTTTATTTTTATGATTCCCTTTAATGTCGGTTCAGGTCTGTCTCCTTTCTTGTTTACGGTGGTGCTAGCGCTCTGACCAGGAGAAGGTTGGAAGGGTCACAGTGTGGACATGCAGCCAGCCATCAAGTCATACATCCCCTCTGTGTTCCTACATGTTGTCTTTTATTTTGGAGAAAGGCAGAGAAGCATTAAGAATTACCAGAAGCCTTGAGGCGTGTCAGAGAGGGCAAGGAAGTTGAGGCAATATCAGAATAAGTGCCTGAAAAGTGCCTTAGATTGGGTCTTCCATGAGAGTCTGTGTGGGGAAGAGGGGAGTCTATTGGGCCTCAGTCTGATGGCTGGTACTTGTGCAATCTCTGAAGCTGGTTCAGGTGTCATGCTATTACAAGGTATGCACTAAATTACCAGATTTCTTTTAAGGTCTTGTGTTCACAACCAGTCCCTTGTTGCTGTCCATTTCTGTGATCTGGATCTGTCTGGTATTGCCATCTGCTTTGGACCAAACCCATTTGGCTACGCTCTTTGCTGAAGGTTATATTTGTTATAATTGAGTGCAGATGGATGTCTGCTCTTTGGGATCAGATATTCTCATTTCTGTCTTAACCTGCATGCTGAGTTGGTATCAGCCCCATTTTATTTCCTGGGATCCAGACAGGGAGCTTCAGGAACCCACTGAAGCATTTTGGGTTGTGTGATGCAGCAACAAGGCAGTACCTCCCTACTCTCCCCTTCTCAAGGCACAGTGTGGCTGAACAAGGTTCTTTAGCCCATGCTAATGAAGTACATGCTAAAAGTAGGCTTGTCCCAGGCAAAGAGCTCTGGCAACACCTCCCAGCTTGTCAGACCCCTAAACTTGGCCAGCTCTCGTGGGTGAATGTTTGATGCTGGTCTGTAATGTCCTCTCCCCCAGCAAGTGTGGTGAGATGTGGTGTTTCCAAGCTGGGTGATTCCCTCCACAGCAGCGCTTTGATCACCGTCTAATTTTCTGAACCACTGCTTAAGCTATTTGAGCATGATATTTATGGAGCTCTCAGCTCTGTGAGAGACTGTTGGGCACTGAAGTGAGAAAGGGAGGTCATTTGGAAACCTGGATGGACTAAATGATGTTGGCTGGAGTTAATAAGTGTCATCTGGCTGGGACAAGAGCCTAGGACTATAATTGTCCTCTCTAGCCTCTACCATGCATTGAGTGAGTGTGTGAGTCTTGTGGCCCACGAGGATCTCAAGACAGGGTGGTGGGGTTGGGCATTCACATGTTTGGCTAACAGCTAAAGTGTGCAGCATTGATCACACATGCTGGAGCTTTCATCACTCCATCTTCCTTGTTATTGTTTATTCCTGTAGGCTTGATTTAAACTAGCATCAGTTTAGTGACATGTGGTAGTCATCTCCCCCTTTTGCTGTGTGGACAGAATCTGCTGGCTTCAGTTAGGATTAAATCATCAGTATGCCTGGGTCCAAATGAAGACAAAAGTAACAAGCTATTGTTTACATCAGTTTTTCAGTTGGAGTCGAATGCTTGATGCCCATAGATCCCTTTGGGAATCCCAGCCTCAGCCCTTCAGAAGCATTCTTTGCTGCTGTTTCCTTGAAAACCTCCACTGGGAAGGCTGTGCTGCATAGCGATGAGGAGCAAGTTGATCTGACACTGGCTTGTTTCTGGAGAGTGGAGGTGATTAATTGATTCTGCCTGCTGCTTGTGTCCAAATCATCCAGAAGCAAAACAGTGTGTTTGGCAGCAGTCGAGCTACTGAGAGTGATGTATACATGCAGGGTGAGGGTCTCCACAGGGCCAGAGAGGTGCTGGGAGGAAAATGCTGTGTCCTAAAATGTCTGGGACCTGACAGAGCCTGGATGTTCTTACCGGAAAAGAGAACATCCTCAAGGACCAGCAACATTCCTGCATCATAGGTGCATTTCTTCTTCCTGAAATAAGATAGATCTCCTCTGCCTCAGGCCAGAATTGGCCTGTTGGAGATGCCACTTGTCCCAGCAGTTTGCAGAGGCATCTATTGAAAATCTCCTTGTGTTCTTTCAGGATTCTGTGGCCATTTTCTTTTGTCTTCTAAGGGCAGTGGAATTAAAGCAGATGTGAATCATGTTTTACTGTTCCTGCAAGCGAGGGTAGAAGCAAATTCAGTCAAGCTCACATTCATTTTTGAGTGCAAGAATCTCCCTTCCTTCTTCCCTCCTCCATGTGCTGCAATGCCTTTCTTGGTTTTTCATCTTGTATTGCCTTTCTGGAGCCTGCAGGATTTACCCTCCTTGGGGCAGTCCTGTTTCTGAAGTGCTGTGATCCCATGATCAGGATGCTGGTCCCTGACTGCAGCTGGTCCCCTGACTGACATGTTGGCCACAGGTTTGCAGCAAGCCTGTTTGCTAACTTGGCAGTGAAGCAGTGGAGCACCCATGGGAATGAGAGTGCAGAGCAGAAAGGGAGCAGGTCCTCCAGCAAAACGGGCTTGTTGCAGCTGCTGTCAGAGGAGCAAAGCTTTCCTGGGGGAGCTGCTGTGGGCATGTGTACAGCTGGAATGATTCCCTGCTGCCAGGCCTCTAGCACAGCACGTGAGCTTGATAAGAGCTTGGGCAGCAATGCCCATGTTGAATCAGTTGCATGTGGCTGAAGTCTGCCTGTCACCTCCTGGTCTGAAGGGGAAATGGGACCTGCTGTGTTTTGTCAAATCCCTGCCCAGCCTTTTAACTTTCTGCACAACCTTGTTTTCACAGTTACCACCAGGTTCTGCAAAGCACCTTCCTGAATTGCAACTTTATATATATATATTTTTTTCTATATCCATAATTAGCGACACTATCATTGTAATTAAAATCCTCTTGGAAGTGTTCATGCACATTTACATTTGAATTGACACATCCAAAATTGCAGCGATAATGAAAACAGTTTAAGCAGGGTGTGGGGGGGTGGCTTTTTATAAACCCCATTGAATATGAAAGAGAGTGTCAGCTACCAGAGACCTGTTAAAGTTTTAATTTGCCCCCTCTGCTGCACTTTTCCTTTAATTTCTTCTCCTTCACTAAACAGCATTTTCATGGCTGGCTGCATTTCTTGGTTTATCACAATAAACCATGCAGAGGAAGAAGATTACTGTGCTGAAGGAAAGGAGTTGTCTCCTCCCCTTTTGCCCCTAGGGCTTCCCTTTTCATATATACACTTATACCATTTTGAACATTATAAACCAATGTAACACAGGGTTATTCCTGCCTGGCATGACGACTGCTGAGCAAAATACCACACTGATAGAGGGGAGTGTTTATTTTGAGTGACTGGATTGAATCAAAGTGATGTGCACCTGTTTGCAATTCAAATAACTCATCAATAGCCTGCCATATTATTTTGGGGGGTGGTAGCAAGTGGTTAGACTCAAAATAATGTCCTTTAGAATAGACCCACAGGAAAAAAAAAGGGGCCTGATTGAGAGGGGAAGGGTAAATTGTTGAATGCTGGCAGCCAGTACAGCTTGAGAAGCGTCGGGGTCGGAGGTGTGATGGATTTTGCTATTCTGGAAACAAAGCTCCGAATAGCAATTTTAACTGCCTTTTAATTTTCCTTATCCTCAAGTGCTGAATGTGGGAGTTGACAACAGATTGCTGTAAATAATGTAATTGGAAATCTCTGTGTTATGGAAAAGCAGATGAATGCAAATAACGAAGCTGAGGAGCGCTTGCTCCTTCCCCCTGCCAGAGGTTTGCAGTGTGCCAGAGCCACAGTGGAGAGCTGGGACAAAGTGACTGTGTGGGCATGTGCTGCATGAGGGCAATGGCAACCAAGTCCTCCCAGGGTGGTTGTGTTTGCAGGTGCCTTTGTCTTCATTAAGCATTGTAGCTCACAAGAACCTGCTCCGCCGCCTTATGGCTGCTGGGGGATTGAGGCAGTAATGCAGGTGTCAGCATGGGAGGCTAAAGGGAGCTGTTTTCCCTTCACCCAGCCCAGCCTGGACTGCTGTGAAGGAAGGGGGCTGCAGAACAAGAGTAGCTACTGCATGGCAAGCAGAAGGTGGGAGAGCAAAATGAGGCTTTGCAGCTAAGGCCCTTTCTAAGATCTCTGTTTAGGGGACTTTTGGCTTGGTGAAGAGAACTCTTGGGGGACTGCAAGTGTTACAGTTCATTCCTAGGCTGCCCAGGGTGGTGGTTGAGTCAGCATCCATGAAGGTGTTTAAAAGACGTGTAGATGTGGTGCTGAGGAATGTGGTTTAGCACTGGACTTGGTAGAGTTGGTCTGATGGCTGGACTCAATGATCTTAAAGGTCTTTTCCAACTAGAACAATTCTGTGATTCAGCTGTGATCCCATCTCTTCATCAGCAAGGCCTAATGTTTTCCCATTTAGGAGCTTGTTCTATCACTGTATGTTCAGAGAAAGAGAAGAGAGAAGTTTGAGCAGTAACATACATTTCACCAGGGCCCGGTGATTCTCTGTTAGGTCCCATTTCCAAGCTGCACTTGAATGTGCTAGATAAAAATGTGCATCTGCTTCTGACTGTCTCATCCTGCAGCTATAATGATGGCTTGATGCAACTTTAATGGGAATATTATCAGGGTTATAAAAGTTATTGAGCTCTCTGGACTTGTCATGGCCATTACATTGGTTTGAAGTAATAAAAAAAGGAGTCTGTAGCTGAAGTAGTTAATCTCTCCTGTTTTACACACACACTTTGCTTTAGGGTAGTTTAGGTGTCAGGGGAGGCAGAAGGGCAGGAGCCTGAAGGAAGGCAATAATCAGTGTGGATTTTGAATGTGTTTGGCTGGGTCAGGGGCAGCTGAACTGTGACCACCCAATCCTGATCTGGGATAATGCAGATACAGATCTTTACTCCCCTCTGCCAGGCAGGCTGAGCAAAAATTGGGTTGTTGCAAAAGTCTGGCAGTGGCTGGCTGTCCCTCTTGCCAATGCAATTGCAGCTCCAATCAAACTCAGGCTGCCATGAGTCAGGATTTCACCCTGCAAGCCAACAGGATGGGTGGGAGCAAAATTCCCTCCTCTTTGGAAAGAGCAAACTCCTGCTAATAAACAAGAGTTTAATTCTCAAAGCACTGTTATAGATTTATTAATTAAAAACCAAGCAAGAACTTTGCTGTCAGGCCACTCTGGCAATCAATGGAACTGCCATCAATAGCAGTCAGCAACATCAATTTATTTTGGTGTATGGATGTGAAAACTAACCTGTGTGCCCATCTTCAGAGCAGAGCATGAACCCTGGTCATTTTGGATGGGCCAGGCTGCTAACCTGGGGGGAGCAGAGGTACTAAATTAAAATAGGGGAAAGCATCTTGCTGCAGATATTTCAGAGCTAATCTCAAAACAGGTTGAGTCTGCTGTAATGAGAGTGAACTCTATTAGAAGCACCAATTTAAAGTATGTATGCATAGAATCAATTTTATACTAGTATTACTATATCAGAGCTGGGTGTATTATACCACTAACTCTTTCTATAAGTGGGCTTGCTTTGAGGTAGTGAGAAACCTGGGGGCGACCAGGCTTTTCTTGCAGCAATCCTTGCTGTGTCTGATTAGTTTTATGGTGTGCCTAAATTGTAGTTCGCCTGAAGATAATAGGTCTTTTCAGTGCTTCAGATTAAATTACAGATGTTGCAAGGTCTGTTCAGAGGACGACTGTAAGAAAGGGTTGCTTCTTCCCTAGCAGTGTGTGTGGGGAAGCTATGTGTGGCCCAGGTACAAACTCCCTGGCTGCAGGGGGGTTCTGCAGCCTTCTTTGTCCTGTGGGTGCAGCTTCACTCACAGCCTCCTGCCTTTCTGGGACAAAGGAGACCAGGGCTTGCCCAGCCTGCAGCTCCCACATCATGTATGTTCACCTGAGTTACAATAGGGTGAGCTCCATGTCTGTCCCAGATTTAAAACACGTGCTCCATTTCCCAGTTCTTGGTTTTGTGGGGAGAGCAGAGCACGTTCTTCCAGGATCTCTGTGCTGCACTGACAAGTGCTGTTGTACAAGCTGTACCAAATGCTGCACGGTCCCTATGTGCTAGCAGAGAGGACAGAAGGAGCTGTGTCAGCTTGTGCCTTGACTGGCTGGGTCACCATTTTGGCTGTTTTCATGCTGGTAAAGGAGCTGGTGAAGTGTTCTGCCTGCCAAGGCCCCCTTCTTCTTCTGTAAAAGAACTTGCAGTCCTCTCTCCTATGAGGAATTGGCTTCCCAGCTTTTCACTGGGATGGCAGCCTCACCATCTCACTGGGCTGTTACCCAGCAGGAAAATGTTGGTATCATTGCAGGGTGTTCTCACCTTCTTCTTTCTAGATCCTGCTATGGTGCACATGAGCTTCTCCCTTTCACTCTTAACTGTAACTGTGACCCACAGCATGAGTGCTGGGTCACAGCAATGCTCTGCGTTCTTCTGCTGGGTGCTCTTCTTTTAAGAAGCATGTTCCCAGGTTGACCTCTGAATCCAGATCCCCTTCACTTGGATGTTAAGGCCCCAAACACAGAAATTTTAGCTCTCTGTGTTGGTGGCTCTGGACTAAGAACTGGGCAACCTGCTGAGCAGTCTCCTCCCATTGGTGTAATGGTGGTGTCCTGCTTTTTGTGCCTGCATGAGAAGAACTTCTCATGAGTGCCAGGTGTTGTCACTGCTCTCTGCTTTGATTGAGCCCTAAATGCGAATTGCAAATGTATTGCTGTAATTAGGGATATCTGCATTTGCACCCGTTGGCATCATGGTGATACTACATGCAAAATGCTTTGGAGTAGAAACACCGATTATCTCCTTCACTCTGAATAGAAATGCAGGTTTTATACCCCCCTGTATGAAATAGAAAATTATATTTTTTCTGTATTAACTTATTTTTGCCCTGGCTATCTCATTAGCTCATTATTAGACTGCTAGAAGGCACAAACGAATTAGGTTTTTAGAGGCCATTTCTTGTCTGAGCTGCCATTCTTTTCCTTTCCTCTGGCTCACAGCAAGGTTTATATTAAATATACTTAATAGAGCTCCTTCATCATAAGCTGTGTTAAAACTAAACTGGAGAATAGAGGATGTTCTTACAGGAGGGCAGTTCAGCCCTCACAGACTCTTTCCTGCTGCAAGTTCCAGTTATTTGAGTGTAGTTCTCATTCTGGGGTTTTCAAGCACACTTGTTAAATGAATGATCTGACTGAGCCTGAATTTCTCTGTGAGATGAACACCAAGGTTGTACCACCCAGTACCATAGGAGACAGCATTTCTGCTGTCCTGGCATTGCTTCCTGCACCCCCCAGCTGCTGCTGGGCTTTGACTCTAAGAAATGACCCAGGCTGAGGGACTTGGTGTGGTAGGAGAGACTTGTCAGGACTTGCTTCTCCTCCAGCTGGTGCAAGACTTGTTTTACTCTAAGCGAAACATGTGCTTGGGGGTGCTGCCTCCCATGGCATGTGCCTGCTCTCTCCAGGAAGATTTTAGTTTTGTGGATTCCTAATGGAGGAAGCAACAGATTTGGAATCTGAACTGCTTGCTGCTTAGTGCGGGCCAGGGAAGTTCATCCTGGTATCCTTGTAGTAGGCCTGGGAATGTGTGTTTGACTCAAGAACAGCATCAGAAAAACATCTGATCTTGACCTGAAGAAAGGAAGAAGCTCCGTGGTTTGCACAATCACACCTCTGCTCCTTCTTCAGTCTGTGACTGTTGCTCATTTAGACTTGTGCTTTTTAGTGGTGAAAGGAGGATGGAGGTGAGGCTGGTTTAATGTGGGGAGAGGCTTGGACTGCTGTGGTGGTTGCATTGCACAGCTCAGGGGCTGTGAGCTCTGTGAGCTGGAAGGTAACACCTCCAGTGCTGTGTTCGGATGGGGTCAGGGTAGCTCAGAAGGGGTGACTGGACTGAGCTTAGTGGGGAGCTCGTTTGATGCTGATTGTGCACTCCTGCTGTGAAAACCCAGGCTTAAGGTGTCTCCATCTCCCAACAGGTCTGGAAGAGGTCTGGTGCGTGGTTCTACAAAGGGCTGCCCAAGTACATCACACCTTTGAAGAGCAGCAGCAAGTGCAGTGAGTTGTCCCCCCAGCCTTGGCAAAGCGAGCCGGGTGTGCCCGAGGCAGGGAGCCTGGGGACCAGCCACTCCTTCACCTGGGCCAGGGGAAAAGGTTGGTTGTCTGCTCCTTGTTCAGGAAAAGGCCAGGGGGAGGGGAGAAGGACATCCTGCTAGCAGGATTTGGCTAATAGTGAAGGTTCTTTGTTAGAGGCAGGGGATAGCCAACAGGATGTGGTGCATTTCCCCGGTGGGCAGGGGTGGGGTTTTTTTGCTGTGGTTGGCTTTTCATCTTTCATTGTTATTTAAGTGCACGTTGGTGGCCCAGACTAGCCCCAGTCCTCACTGTCCTTCAGTCCACTCTTGCTTTCCTTCATTCCCTGCAGCCCCCACTGTTTTGCTGGGGCTGCCAAAGGGAGGGACACCATGAAGCAGACACCTGTCTGCAGTCACAGCCCAAAGAGCTCCTCCTGCTGTTTTGGAGGAAGCAACAGATTTGGAATCTGAACTGCTTGCTGCTTAGTGCGGGCCAGGGAAGTTCATCCTGGTATCCTTGTAGTAGGCCTGGGAATGTGTGTTTGACTCAAGAACAGCATCAGAAAAACATCTGATCTTGACCTGAAGAAAGGAAGAAGCTCCGTGGTTTGCACAATCACACCTCTGCTCCTTCTTCAGTCTGTGACTGTTGCTCATTTAGACTTGTGCTTTTTAGTGGTGAAAGGAGGATGGAGGTGAGGCTGGTTTAATGTGGGGAGAGGCTTGGACTGCTGTGGTGGTTGCATTGCACAGCTCAGGGGCTGTGAGCTCTGTGAGCTGGAAGGTAACACCTCCAGTGCTGTGTTCGGATGGGGTCAGGGTAGCTCAGAAGGGGTGACTGGACTGAGCTTAGTGGGGAGCTCGTTTGATGCTGATTGTGCACTCCTGCTGTGAAAACCCAGGCTTAAGGTGTCTCCATCTCCCAACAGGTCTGGAAGAGGTCTGGTGCGTGGTTCTACAAAGGGCTGCCCAAGTACATCACACCTTTGAAGAGCAGCAGCAAGTGCAGTGAGTTGTCCCCCCAGCCTTGGCAAAGCGAGCCGGGTGTGCCCGAGGCAGGGAGCCTGGGGACCAGCCACTCCTTCACCTGGGCCAGGGGAAAAGGTTGGTTGTCTGCTCCTTGTTCAGGAAAAGGCCAGGGGGAGGGGAGAAGGACATCCTGCTAGCAGGATTTGGCTAATAGTGAAGGTTCTTTGTTAGAGGCAGGGGATAGCCAACAGGATGTGGTGCATTTCCCCGGTGGGCAGGGGTGGGGTTTTTTTGCTGTGGTTGGCTTTTCATCTTTCATTGTTATTTAAGTGCACGTTGGTGGCCCAGACTAGCCCCAGTCCTCACTGTCCTTCAGTCCACTCTTGCTTTCCTTCATTCCCTGCAGCCCCCACTGTTTTGCTGGGGCTGCCAAAGGGAGGGACACCATGAAGCAGACACCTGTCTGCAGTCACAGCCCAAAGAGCTCCTCCTGCTGAACTGCGTAGGATGTTGCCACTGATGGCCGTCACTGTGCAGCTAAAGACTGGTCTCATTCCCTTCCTCCTGAGCTGCTTGCTCCTTGCTTCTGCTGCTCCACAGAGCATGCCTGGGCAGATACCTCAAGTTTCTTTGAGCTGGGTTAGAAATCACCACCCCCAGGTCTCCCCAGGGTATTTCGCAGAGCCTGGAGCAAGTGGGCAGAGAGACTCTTCTACAATCAGTGAGCAGGAGCGAGCTGATGCTAGCTGTGTCCTTTGTGCCTGACTCCCCTCAGCAGGTGGAACTGGCAAAGGGTAAAGTTCCCCAGGCCTTGGGGAGGGGGCTGAGGTTTGCAGCATGAAGAGCTCAGGGCTGAGTTGTTGTTTAAAAGTGTCTCAGTGAAGCTGTTGATTAACTTATCTGTGTGCAGGGCTGGGGCCAGAACACCAAGAAGCCTGTTTCATTAGCTTCAGCACTCGCATCCCTGTTCTTTGAGGTAGACCTTGATTGAAGTAGACTGTTGTATCACATGTGGCATCTTGGATTGCTGCCGTGTCAGATCCCATTCACAGTGCTGCCTTGTAGGGCTTTTTTCCCTGCTCTCTTCCATCTGCCCACCGTGTTGTTGCTTGTACGCCCACTCCAATGCTGCGCCTAGAGCCAGCTGGGGGGAAACAGCAGCTTGGCATTGAGGAGCTGAGCACTCAGGGTCATCAGCACAGGAGTGGATGGATGCTGCAGAATTAAAGCTGCTGCCAGTCTGCTTTGATTTTTCTTAATTTCTTTCTGATGTGGATTAGTCCAACTGCCTGGCCTTTCTCCCTGTCTTTCCTTTGCTGTCAGATCCCCTCAACTGGGGAAGACCCCGTCAGTGTGCCAGCAGTGTGCACTCTTCCACATAAAAAGAAATCTTACCAGTAGTGCAGGGGGAAATGGTGTTTTAATAAAGGGGACTCAGGAGAGTCAAATTTACAAACCTTGTCTTCATACCCCAGCTAGGAAAGCACTCCCAACCCTGCTGTAACTTTTGTAATTAACGACAAATTAGATCAACAATAGATGGTTGTTCTTCCCTCCGGGACACGCTTGGAAGTTGTCTTGGCAAATGAACTGATTGATGAGGTATTTTCTGTTGACATGATACAGCAAACATTTTGAGAATTATGTTGAGCTCAGACCTGACCTGCTTTTTAGTTCAGTTTATTAGATGAGTTTTGTTTTGGGAAAAGCCTCCCCTTAAATACAGGCAGAAGCAGAAAAGGAGCAGGTAGAAGACAGCAAAGTGGCCTTTGGTAATCTTTGTTGTGGGTGGTGAGCTGCCTTTCCCCTCTGCTTTGATTTTTGGCTGGCTGCTGTTTTATGGGTTGGATTATAAAAATATATGCTTTTGTTTTCTGGTGCTTTCTCTCCTTGTTGGCCTTCTCTGTTAGTCTGACTGCCCTGGACAGCTTTCAGTGGGCACTGTGGGCTGTAATTCATCTCTGAAGCTGGGAGCTTGCACATCTCACCCTTCCATTTAACTCTTTTTCACCTGCCAGTGCTGGGGCTTCTGCTGTTTGTCATCTGAAAGCTCTGCAATGGGCAGGGTGGCCCCTTTCCCTA